TAATTATGACAATGTGCTGTCACATTTTATAAGTATACATTAACATTATGTCTGTACATTTCTTGAACTTTGAACATCATGTAATACAACTTAATAGGGTAATGATTAATAATTATGTTATGAGAGAATAGCCTTCACTCCGCTATTCAGCCTCCAGTATTTGCGTACTTTATATATCCCTCATAGTGTAGGGAATTCATTAAATTCCATTTAATTAATTAAGAGTGGCTTGATTAAGATATAAGATCACTGGGATCCATAGGCCCCTTGTGATCTTTTACCTAATTCTCGGGATTCTATATATCTCATGGAGACGTGATTATTCTGTAACCATTACTTAGTCATGCCAAATTCAATTGTATCTTAAAATTACATAAAATAATCTTACGACAACGTGCCTTTGAGAGGTATGACAGGGGACTATCATTTGCAAGTGATTTTTCCTAATTTACAAATAGGCCTATGTACAACTTGCTTTTAGTTTAAAAGAAGTTGAATTTACTTTACCAGGTTGTAATTACCTATGCAATTTGTAACAATAAGAGCATTTCTTGTTTTTTAGTAAAAAATAAAAAAAGCACTTAAAGTTAGAATATCTTGAATAGTTCTTGTATGGAATAAATGTTTTTGAGAATAAAGAAGCATAACATCTTCCACTTCCAAAGCATCTTCTAAAAACATTGCTAAAATAGCCATCTGGTATTCAGCTCTGTTCATGTTTACAAAATTAGTACCGTGTTCGTAGTCGTATAACTTTGACAGAACTGCTAAATTCAAATATCGAAGACTTAAGACGAAGACTACTATTCCAGTCTACCTCGGCCAAAATACGTCTTCGTCTTCGTACTTCGTTTCCTTGCTCAAACTCGCTTGTACCTGTTCTGAAACAATAATTTTTCAATACCACAGGCATTCGATATTGAAGCAGCAAAATTAAAAAAAACGCATTTTTAAATGTAGTGAATTGGTTAACGTGTATATTGAAAGTAAACTTTTATCCACAAACTTAGGTAATTAGATACTATATACATGCATGAGGTAGCGAACAGCATCGCAGCAGCCCGTAACTAGAACGATAATTGGGGGGGGGGTGTTTATTCATATATTTAGTTCTGCCGACGATATTGTGAGCTATTGCACTTACAAAAAATCCGTCGGGCAGAACTGAATATACGAATAAACACCCTTTCAATTATCGTTCTAGTTACGGCCCTGGCAGCCAGGGCCGTAACTAGAACGATAATTGAAAGGGTGAATTATTCATATTCAGTTCTGCCTGACGGATTTCGATTCTAAGTTATTGCGCTTAAAACGAAATACAGGGTGTCCCAAAAAAATGTCCCTCTATTGAAATCAAGCCTTTGTTCGAATCTGATTGCCTTATATTATGATAAACCCATTGAAAGCAAGACGCTTTATTTGAATGCCTCAAACCTAATAAATATGCTATTTACACACTACTGCGTTGATCATGCATTCAAATTCCAACAAAAGCTTCATTTCAATAGCGGGGACTTTTTTTTGGGACATCCTGTACATCTGGCCGAACTGAATATGTGAATATTAACCGCACACGATTATGGAAGCTAAAAAGTAAAGAATGGTAATCCACAGCATAGAAGGGGGAGGGAACAGTTAAAAGTTTGAAAAAATCAGTTAAAAATGTAAACACCATGAATAGAGTGAGAAAGTTCAAACAGGGTAAAAACTAGGACCTAAAAAAAAGTGAATACCTTCACAATGCAGTAAAAAACAAGGTTAAGGTAAAAACAAAAATGGCCGTAAGAATATTTAAAAAAATGCAAAAAAGGATGAAAAATAAAATACAGGGATTAAACAACTGTATAAAAAACAGTTATATAAAAGAAAAGCCTCAATTAGTAAAAAGAGAGTGAATACTGGGGTAATAAAAATACAAACCAGTAAGTATATAAAAACATCGAAAAGCAGTAAGAAACAGGAAAAAATGGAACCAATTTCAGATTCCCCTAAATGACATGGCATTTCGCACAACATAGTGCCAAATACCATCAAATTGTGCTAAATACCATAGCAATTGTGCTTAATGCCATAAAATTTGTGCTAAATGCCATGGTATTTGGCACAATGTTAGGATTGTGCCAAATACCATGGAGATTATGCCGAATGCCATAGTCATTATGCCAAATGCCATGGCATTTAGCACAATGATAATGCCAAATGCCATGAAATTATGCCAAATGCCAACCAACAATCTAACTATCTATCTATCTATCTATCTATCTATCTATCTATCTATCTATCTATCTATCTATCTATCTATCTATCTATCTATCTATCTATCTATCTATCTATCTATCTATCTATCTATCTATCTATCTATCTATTCTATCTATCTATCTATCTATCTATCTGCGGCCAACGTTTTTGCAAATGGGTATATATATATATATATATATATATATATATATATATATATATATATATATATATATATATATATATAGAAATGAAATTGATCTCATGTATTCAATATTTTAATAATATAATAACGATATTTGTGTTGCATTGTTTGTGGATTCGGTATTATAAAGGCGGTTTTTTACTATATTGGTGGAGGTGGAAATCTTCGATGGAACGGAATATTTCGCTCAATTCTCTTTTCAATTGTGAAATAAAACCGAAGCAGATTCACTCGACATATCACAATTGAAAAGAAAATCAAGCGAAAAATTTCAACTTCAAAATGGAGTTATGTTAAGAAGTCGGGAGCGATTCGCGAATCGTCTGACTATTTAGCAGGTCAAGGTCTCGTTGAAGAACAGTTGAAGCAACAAGACAGATCCATCCTCTTCGATGTCTATACAAAAGTAAGTTATCTTAAGGCATTGATTTATTTGTAGAAATTAGTGCATTAGAATATTAGGGTATTAGAAACATTATAAATCAGTATGTGTCAAGTATAACGGAACAAAACAGGATGCATAAATTTGTGCCCCATACAAACCACGTGTTCTTCCTTATTTGTTTTCATACTAACCTTCCTGACAAATACCCTTGGGTCAAAACGTCAAGAAGTGTTCTTTTGTCTATTTAGGCAGTTGTTGTACCACATTTGATGTATAAATATGTGTTTAATGCAAAAAGTTTCATTACCTGATTTTTTTCAGGATCATCAGTGATAGCTTCAACCATTCACGCTTGGCATTTTTGCACGCTAAATTGAACAATTAGAATGTGCCGGGTTTTATTGGAGGCGCGCGACATTTTCTGAAGAGTGGTAATGAATTTTTCGAGTGGAGAATTCCTTATATTCGGCTATGTTTTTCCGGAGCGCTTTCTCCGTGAGGTGTTTGGGGGTATAATAGTGTTATAGAGGGTAACAAGAGGTTTATTTTGATATCAATATTGCTATGGTAACGGCAAATGTTTTGCTTCAAGCGAGGTTCTTGTTAGAGGCATTTGGCGCAAATGGCGTCGGGCGGAAATTAAATTTCAAACAACCGCATATTCGGCTTGTATAGCATTCTTTGTGTGAGGTTACTTTTGTACATTTTTGGTATATTTCAAAAGCTAAGGAACCAATCTCAAATCGTATGTTTTTTTTTCTGACAAAAATGAGCTAAGAAACTCAGAATCATGCCTTTTAGAAAGGCATCTCAATACCGCAGATTCAATGTTGGGGAATATATGCGCAACAAAAGACTTGCATGGCAAGCTGTGGAGACGAAACAAAAAAAAGCAAAATGCGTATCCCAGAAGCTTAAACGTTTGATGATAAGGTAAGAAACGTTTATTTATTTGTATTTATATATTTAACTTGTATATTTCGTGTTTGACTTGCTATTTTTCGTGTATATTATATGGACTTGCGGCTAACCTGATCCACTTAAATTTCCATACCGATAACCGATTTGCTATATTTCTGAGCCAATTTGCATTTTTAACTAAAGCATATTGTATGTTAATGCCTTTGATAAATTTTGTTATATGAATATATGAATATGTTTTCCCTAGTTTGTTAAAAGCTTGTTGAAAACTTGACATTTAACTCCACATTGTAAGATGAACTCTCAAAAACCTAAATTTATGATCTTTGACCCACTGAGCTTCAATGCTACTATTAAATATATGTTTTTTATAACTTAATTAACCCAGATGATTTTATTTGTCAGTTGGGAAGCCCAGCAGTGTAATGGTTCACTAAAATTTGTCAATATTTAACTCATTAGGCTTTAATGCAGTAAATGCACCCACAGTGTATACCCTGCTATCTAATGCCAGAATGATTGTACTTGTTCCACTGAGAAAGCTCTTTTTCAGCTTAGTGGTTAACTAAAAAATCTTACTTGTGCAACATGTAGTGCAACCATTCGTACTAAACAAATCCCAGATGATTATATTTCTCAGTAACCTTACTCTGATTCTACATAGGAGTTAATTTATAATTAACAGAATCCAACATTTCTGAAAGATTAGACAAATTTGGATTTTAAAAAGGATTTGGGGCAACTTTTTAGTATATGAATATCTGGGCATTTCTTTGTCAACACCAAAGTCTACATAACAATATCTCACAAATATATCAATATGTTTAATAGCTTGTGATTGTAAAATCAAAATATATAAGGATAGCGCAAATAGTGTTATAAAATAATGGTGTTTGACATGTGAATTATACATTGTGATAAAGCTTATAAAATTAAACAAAATTGATGTAGAATTTTCTTTAACAATCAAATTAATAATAGTCTATCATTGGGCGTGAGAGTGGCATTATATATAAATATGTCCAGTAATTTGGCAGATGCTGTGGTTGTGTGTTCATAACTAGTTAGGAAATATATGAAATTGATGAATTCCTTAGATTTTGCCTTTGTTCCGTTTTATTTTTTATTATTAAAACTTACAGGCCTTGCATGGTACTGGCTATAAATTGGCACAGGCATGATTAAAACAACATTGTACATCTTTCAGAATTATGCTATGTTTTTTAGTTTAAAACATTTTACTAAACAAGTATCAGTTATGTTCAACTTTATATATGCAGGTAAATAGATTGGTGAATGAAATTGAAGACCTAGATAACATCAAGGCTGAATTAGTTGATGATAAGCAGGAAGAACAGGAAGGAAGCTTTAGTATAGGCGAGAAGGCAGTTACTAGACGTAAGAGCAAACCAACAGGGGAAGGTTGTGTGGAGTCTACAGGTAGAAAGCGGAGGAAAGAAACCATGGTAGCAGCATGTGCAATATGTTGGAGACATTAGATAGGAAATGTAAGGAGGAAGATATTGTTGAAGGAATGGAAAAGTGTAGCAAGATCAAGAATAAGGTTTTACCGAAGATATACAAAGAAGATTTAAAGAAGTATGAAAGATCAAATGACAATATGTTGCGGTCAATTGCAGTATATTATAGCAAGGGTATTATGGGTAAAGATAAGTATAGGAGAGTTTATAAGGCTAATTCATACAAGCAGGTAGTAGGTAGTAAGCGGGCTGCGCGTATTAAGGTTGCCAACTGTCCCACCCCTCGCCTTGTTCCCTATGACAGGTTAATGCGGTATATAAAATCCATTGATATTGGTGAGTTGTTTAGTGTTCGTGAAAATTTGTGCAATGGTATGGATGAATGTGAGAAAGTCAACGGATGTTACAGGGATATTGAAGATCTTCTTGTAAGACTAGCTAATTTTTATTTGAACAATGGTGAGTATCAAATTGTTAACTTCGGTGAGCCGAATACATTTCATATTGCTCTGGGTGGAGATGGTGCACCTTTTGGAAGAGATGATTCAGCATGTTCATGGTTGGTAAGTTTTCTTAACATTGGACAAGGCGTATTGAGTAGCAACGAAAATTTTCTTCTTTTTAGAGCTAACTGTTCAGAAAACTGTGTACCGGTAAAACGTTTCTTGGGTAAACTTATGATTGATATTAAACGAATTGAAAGCAAGTCTTACTCTGTTCTAGCTAAAGAAGAAAGCGTTGAAGTCAAGTTTGTATTTTCAGAACTGCCAAACGATATGAAAATGCTTTGTTTTTTAGCTGGGGAGCTTACTAATAGTGCTACGTACTTTTCCACTTTTGCAGATGTAAATCAGGAGTCCTTGTCGGTAAACGGAAAAGGAACCTTCGGGCGAAATAAAAACGATACCTGGAAACCGTGGAAATACTCGGAAAGGATCAAACAGGCGAAAAAAGTTTCTGACTTCAAAAAACAACTTCAAAGGAAGAATGTCAAAGCCGCAACCAAACGAACAAATGTGACGACTTTCATTGCTAAGCAGAAAAGCCGCCAAAAATTTGTTCCTTTGGTGGCTGAGCTAATAGACAGAGCTCATGTCGAACCGCTTCATTTAAAAAATAACGCATGTGCCTTAGCTCATCGTTATCTTTTAAAAAGCGATTGAAATGTCAAAACCTAACTTACCTTCATCTTTTTCTCAGGTTCTACCAGAAACACCATTTTACAAGTTTGTTAATGTTTTAAGATCAAAGTGTAACCTGAATAGGCTGGCGAAACGTATCATACGGTGGTACGACGAAAACGCAAAGCTTGATGGAATGACGTTCAACTATAGATTCACAGGTAAGGACTCTCGCATGTTTTTACACAACTTTATGTTTCTCATTGATGTGCTTGAAAATGGTGTTTCTGGAATAACCTCTAATATACTTCACGTTCATGCTTATCTCTGCCTTTGCTTGCGAAATGCAGTTGCTTTATTTAGTCGGGTAAATATTACTGATGAGCAGGTAAGAGAACTAAAGAAACATTGTGAAAATTTCCATCGTGGTTACTGGCTATATCTGAAAGTGAATCCAACTGTGTGGACTTTAGGTTTTGTTGTTCCTGTTCACACAAAAGTAATGAAGGAACGTTATGGGTTGGGGCTGGGTTTAAACTCAATGGAAGGACGAGAAGCAAAGCATATAGCTATCTCAAAGTACTGTGCAAATACTGCATATAGCCATAGGTGGCAACAGGTTTTCCATCACGAATACATTTCTTTAATTTGGTTGCGTAAACATGGTTATAATAATGTTAATGTTGTGTAGGTTTTGTGGTAACGAACTAAGGAACAAGATAAAGGAAAGCTTGGAGAAATGTAAGTCGTTTTTTTAAATACTGTACTGCATGTATACAGTGGAATTCCGTCAATATGACCATTGGTAAGGCCCGGTTCCATTTCAACCATATCGCAGCGAAATGTATCGAATACTCAGAAACAAAGAAATACACGTTTTCAGGGTATTTATGTTAGCGAAGTGTGTTAACACGATTGACAACTGTTTCCGAAGAATAAAACATGAAAAAGGGTTTAATAATGACCCTAAAGGCCTAATTTCGAATGGAAATTATACACATGTCAAATTCAACAGCATGTACTGTAATTTCATTAATTTTAATTAGACAATATGTGACATCAAAAGTCGTCGTGCACGCGTATTGGAAAACGCGTGCACGACGACTTTATAGTTTTTGTCACAAAAAAAGAATTGTCGACACGAAAAATTTATAGTTTTTGTCACAAAAAAGGAATTGTCGTATAGTCGGGTTCCACTGTATAAGAAACAAAATATATAAGAGGTGATGAAGACGCTAGATTGATGATTACTTTCATTAATTAAACTAGCGATGGTATCCGGTATAGTAGCGATAATTGCGATGGATTATTTAGCTGATCGCCGTGAACTTATAATTTCAATTAAAGAAATCTTAAAGCTCCGTTTACACTGTAGGGCACAGATAAAATTCCGGCCGTGTCACTTTTACAAGTACTTGGACTACCTAAATAGATCGTCCAAGCACGGATAAAAATGGTACGGGTACCAGATTTATCCGTGCCGTGCCAAATATCGCGCGTAGTGTAAACAGGGCTATAATAATACCACGCGACTATAGTTGAAGAGTGTCAGGGGTATTATATTCCCTAAGGGTACTCGAACAGCGTTCTCATTTGTTCTTTTGTTTTATTCTGTCGTTTGTTTCGTGATGTGTCGTTCATTGTTTCGTATTTCCATAGTGTTGAATGTTGATGCGGTGTTACGCTGCTCGTTTGTGTTACGTTTGTGTCACGTGGTGTTGCGTTTTTCATCTTGTCTGTACGTAACGAAGTAACTGATTAATTTCATGTGGATATTATATCTTGTTGTTTAAAGCTGGGTTACATGCAGTCTGTAATGTAAAGAAAGGCTTTGTTTACATTTTGAATCACTATGTATCTTAAAACATCTTGTTCTGTCCGAATATTTACTAGTATTACCATTTCATTACACTAACTTTTTTAAATGAAAGTTTATGTTCGAAGAAATTCAAAACATGCGAAATTTGGGCTGCTTTCAACTGTCGCGTTTTGTGCACCTATATGTACACGCTGCAATTTAAATAATTTAAATGATACTTTCAAAAATTTGCGATTGAATAGTTGCATTGCGTTGGACTCTTTTGAAGATTTGTTATGTTTTTCTGGCATAAAATTATTATATAAAAACTTTGAAGGTTTTAAATATTTATGTGCGTGTTTGTACCTGTAAAAACGAGATGGTGGAATCTGCCCTTAGGCTTAGGCAATTGAATCATGGAGCCCCCAAATTTATGAGCAGAACCGCAATGTGCAGAATCCGGTCAATCCGCTGTAACCCCTTTTTAAACTGATTTATAACCTGTCATTGCCATTGGGAACGTTTCTAAATGTGAAGGTTTGTTGACCAAACATGCAAGCTAGCGGCATAAATGATTCATTTTCTACTTTGAAATAAGTTCGTTCAGGATAAATTTATAAACATAATGTTTGCACGATAAGCGAACTTTATTGCTTAAGAAAGACGTTCTGTGATAATACCCAGATGATTTTCAATTCAATCTGTGTTCACATGCATGCCATGCCCGGTTTGGCAACCTTTGTCGCGCGTAGTCTGTACGGCCTGCATACTCTGGACGCGATTCGCCATAATGCGACGCGAATTTTTTTATTTTCAGAAACAATTAATTCAATTCTTAAAGGACCTTTTGCGATATATGGGCACCAGAGTAGTCAAAATGTACCTTCAATCGTATTACCAAGAATATTATTGCGTTGTCAAAATTAGCGGTTTATAGTTATAAAAACTGAATTCGTAAAAATCGCGTCGCGTTGGCCGGATCTCATCCGGTTTGTGTAGGCCTTTAGCCCCACACAGACGATTATTTTTTTTGTCAACCTAGCTCCTTGTCGAGAGTAATTTGCTCGTGTGCACCTTGCAAAGAGCTGAAACTTCTAAGAGAAAACTGCTCGTGTGGGCCTTTAAAATTTAAGTCAGTATGATTAAGTACGACCATTGAACTTAATTCAAATCTACCTCATGTTTCCACAGCTGAATGAGTTAACCTATCTTACTCTGCAGGAAGCAGTACATGGATTGCCACTGAATTACAATCCATGTACTTAGGCTATAGCCGGTATACATGTTTCAGACATACACGCTTATATTAATAGCGTAAATCACTAAATTTATACGTAATGCTTTTCAACATTTTATAGTCAAAAACAATTTTGATGAAAATGTGTTGTGACGCCGACTCGAATCATGCATGAAATCGAACAATCATTTAGCAGGATTTGCTCTTTTGTGTGAGTACATCAGCAGAATTGATATAAGTTTTAATGATTGAGAGAAATGTTTATCATGATTCATTCTATTTATGGCATGTGTCATACTCCAACTTGATGCTTAAAAGAAATACCCTGTCATGATTGTGATATTCTTTCTTATTAATGTCCAATATATGTTATTAATATATTTGACCATATAAACGTACACAATTGTGTATATATGAGAAATTTAACTATAAACCGGAAATATTTAGCACTGTTATTAGTTTTGATTATTGTTCTGATTAGTTGCAATGTCTCAAATGTATTTACAATATAACAACACTATATAAGTGGGCTTTAACCAAATAATGTACAAATCTAAAATATACAGTAACATACTAACTGTGTATGTAAGCACACTGGAATATGCTAATACATCTTAATAACAACTCTGAACAATGTCGGCCGCACAACATTGATCAATCATGTTCATATCAATATTGCATCAACCTGATGTTTTTTAAGTGTGTACTTAGTATATTAGTTTGACAAAGTATTGAAATCAGTGCTATTAGTTTTAAATAGTGTTCAGGTTACTTGCAATGTCTTAACCTAAATGTATTTACAATATAAAAAAAATATGAACAGTAACATTTTACATAACTGTGTATGTTAAATACACAGGAATATGCTATGCATATGTTGCATACATCTTGATTATTAGTGTATTAGTTTTGTAATTTTTGCATGAAATATGTATGTTTGATTTCTATTTTTGGAATAGATATATATTAAGACAAAAACTTGTGTTGTAAACCTATACTCATTTGTATAAACTCTTCAAAGCTCCATTCTCTCCACTAGTATTCAAGTATCCACTAGTATCCAAAGGGTAAAAATCTCAGTGCATCCTAGTTATATTTTTCTGAAAAAGTCCTGATGATTTTTCTTTTCAATGTGGAATCTTAGAGGACCATTGCAGCTTAATGATAGACAAAGTCATGCAGTACCATTTAGTTAAAATCAAAAAGAGGACTATAAATACATTTTAAATGTATTGTAACATAAATACATTAAAAATGTATTTATTGTTTCTTTTTCTTAAAATGGTGGCAGAAGAAAATTGATTTTTTTATCAAATTGTTGGGGGTGGCTGTGGCAAAAAAACCCTAAAATTGTGTTTTGTTCTTGACATTATTTGAGTTGTTTGATTTACTATCTGGCAGCAGTTTGATTTTCTGACTGAAAAAGCAACTGGAAAACTAGTCATTAAAAGGGAAGTTCACATATATTTGTCTGCTGGTTTGCCTTCAAAATATTAGTATGTAAATCTATGATTTTGGAGGCAATATCCAGCTATATAAGGATTATTACTTTGATATAGTTAAAAAGGAATGTAGAGCTTTGACCAGGATCGTAACTAGAACGATAATTGGGGGGGTGGTTATTCATATATTCAGTTCTGCCCGACGGATTTCCATTGTGAGCTATTGCACTTACAAAAGAAATCCGTCGGGCAGAACTGAATATATGAATAAACACCACCCCAATTATCGTTCTAGTTACAGCCCTGGCTTTGACATGGTTCTTAACAGTTGTGAAAACTTGGCAATGAAGTGCATTATAAAAGCCAACATCAGATTAAATTAACTAAACTAAGCATATTTCATCAAAGTGCACTGAGAACAATTCAGATTTTGATAATTTTAGTAATATAATTGCCTGAAATGATTAATCATGTTTGCAGTTACATTACCAAAATTTTGCCTAAAATGATTTAAACAATGCTCTGAATTTTCACAACTGTAAGAACGTGCCTATGTTAAAACGTTTTTCATAGATTAAAGAAATGTTAGCATACATGCTGAGGAACTCCATTTACATTCCATTCACCATAATTAAAACCGATGACTAGTTTTCCAGGCCTTTTCTTGTAAATAAAAACAAAGTCTTTCACCTCGGTTATAATAACTGCCGCTGTGTGACCCTTTCGATTGCCAGAAAAACATCTCTTAAAGTAATCGGCAACTTCATCTATCGACAAGCCAGATAGTAAAACAAACAACTCGTTCACAAGACGCATTGATAACAAAAAGGTGCCACGAAACCATCCATCCCCCGAACAATTCGACACAACGCCGTGAAAACCTCGTAAGGCATATCCCTCGTAATTTCCCCATAATACGGGTTCCGAATGCTCCTTCTACCACCAACCCGTCGCCGAATCCAATTTAACCACAAACGTGATTCTCGCTGCAAAATAGGGCCGACATTGATGGGAATTGCCAGCAATTTCAGCCCAGATTCTCCATGGCTTGTTGCAAGTTCAAGCATAGCTTGAACTTGCTCAACACTTGCCCCAGTGACAGCCTCTGCATTGCTGCACCCACGCTCAACTGCCAAACTCTCAATTGCCTCCTGAACTTTTGTCAAAGAGTTTGACGGCTGTTCAACGGCGTTTTCGTTGAAGATGTCTTGTTTTAACACTTCTTCCAACGAAAATCGCACATTTGAAACAGCCGCCATGTTTACTTAATTAAATATTCTTGGGCGGTACACCACTGACTCAAATGAACGTGGCGCAAACATTTTGGGGGTATACCGCATGCCATATTGAATGGCAAACTAGCGATTTTGCATGCAAAAATGCCAAGCGTGATTTCATTCTTACTTTTTTTCACCCCGGAAATAACCTTTTTCTTTTAAACTAGGTTGAGCAACTTTGCCTAGATTTCAGTTTCGAACGTTTTGACCATTTTTTTTTGTTCCAGTCATCCCCATTATTCTGTGAAACTCTGCTTTCAGCTGAAGTAAAAGCAAGAATATCTACATCATATATTTCAACCACTTGCAACACAAATCGGAGCTTCAACGCTACATATGAAGGTAACAAGCGGTGAATAACATAGTTCGTTATAGGGTTTTTAGACTAGGCAAAAACACTCCAATGGAATTTTTACCTTTGCGTATAAGCATCACCAACCATTCTACCACAACGATGCTAAAGACGGGCGTCGTGCAAACAATTTCTATGTGGCAAAGATCCGAAATTTAAAATCAGAAAACTGAAGATAGCTATTATTAGTTTACCTCGGACACAAGTGTCAGTGCCGGATACTCTTCCAAGACGTTTTCAAGAGTTTTAGGCGTACGAAGGATTTCGTGCCTCCTGGAAGGGAAATGGACCTCCATTAATTCTTTACTCAGGTCTACGTTTTTGTTTCGACTTTTGGCCATCTCCTTCTTTATCGCTACCACATGTTCCCTGCAGGTTTCTGCCGTCTCGACTTCAGTTGCTTCCGACAACACCGACAGTTTAGACGACCCGGCTATTCGTTTGGAGTCACTTTCCAATTTGAATTAAGTGAGCAAGTGTGAATGTGAGTGATGCTAAAACCGAAGTATAGTGAAATTTCACTTAGGATAAAAAGAAGGAAAACAATATAACGGTTCGAACAAAAGCTCACGGAACCTGGTGATTTTATGTAAGTGCATTACGTATAAGGGCTAAATACCCCTTCGAGTGTCACAGTACTCCTACTTCTCTTTTTTCTTCGTTGGTTTTTAAATCTATTTTTGTTTGCTTGTTCCCATGAAGCCTGCAATAAAATCATTTTAATATATTTATTATAGGTCATTTGGTATCTTCCGTTGAAGAGTCATATCTTTTTATACTGTATACTATACAAAAATACGCGACGGTTTTGAAGGAGGGTATGTAGAGGATTTATTCAGGCCTTTGAGCATTACGAAATGACCTAGGGTGCTAACTAACTAGCATATTATACGTACATGACATAGGCTTGTAAACTTACTGTTCCTGACCCAAGTTTGTCTGCTAAAAACGCATATTTTTATATGATTAGAAACGCTACGTGTTCACGTTCCGTTTTCTTAGGATTCGTCGTATGAATCTGAATGGTGGAGCAGACATCACGATTGAACTCATCGCGCAGATTACCAATGAGTTCCTGTTTCTCCAAAGAGCCAGTATCGGATGGGGGAAACTGTAAAGGTATATATATACTCTGTGTCTCCATTTTCAATAGTCACTAATGAATAAAATCAGCTCTTATATAGATCCTTTTCAAAGGGGTGTTTTAATGGTCTGTGAACATCGTCTGCTTATAGACACCTTACGTTTGGCCTTTACGACAAACGTATGAAAAGTGTAAAGTTTTAATCCCTTTGTTTGATTAGATATATATAATTAGATGTATTATATAAATATATTTAATATATATACCTTGGCAGGTAGTTTGTAAGAGACCAACCATTTGTCATCATTTGCATGTTATACATATAAAACACGAGGTCATATACGCCCCAAACTACCAGTGGCAGCTCTTGGGTACCTACGTTCGATCCGGGAAGATATTTCCAGCCTTCGTTGCCTGTGTACCTCTGAACCTACTTAATTGTTTTTACATGTCTAAAACGTACACTATACGCAGCAAAACGTAGCCAAACCGAGGCGATACCTGAGGACAAGCTAGGTCCAAAACTGTAGAATATGAATAGAATACCATTGAGTGGGGATGTTTCACTTGTTCCATCGGTGTAAAATCTACTATCTCTTCAATAGGAGCGACCATATCATCAGCCAAAGATTCTACTTTGATTGCTACTGGGAATTCCGTTTGCTGTTTGTTTGATACCTCCTGGTCAACTTCGTCCGGGATGGCTTGCCTTATTCGAACAATTTTTGCCACCTTTATATTTATATAAATCCTAAAAGGGGACTGTCGATGACTTAAGCAAGTCCGCCGTCAACAACTACGTACAACATTGAAATGTAGTATATATAGTATATATATAGAAATTTCTTTTCACAGCGCTGAATTAGGAAATGAGTTCGTTCACCGCAGACAAAATCTAATTGAACCAATTTGTTCTCTCCACACTGTAAACAAACTTTTAACTCCGTGCGCGAAATGATGATGGGTTGCATACCTTTTTTGTAAGGGGAAGGAACATGCCATTATACCCAAACACTCCATAAAATGATGATTTTCACGGTTTGCATTAATACCCATACCTTACTAGATTGGGCAATACATAAATTAGACGGCACTTTCAAATCATTGGAAAAGCAATGCCTACATGCAATACATCAAGAATATTTAGCAAACCACGAGCGAATAACGAGTTTGAAAATTTAGTGATTTCAGCCATGTTACGTGTGCAGAAACATGGTGGGTCATGGTGGACATTTTTCCGCAGTAAAAAAAGTTTTCTTATACAGAGGCTTTTGAACCATCGTTCTTCTATGCGTTTTTACTAAACCAATTAGTATACGGTGTCCATTTTGTCAACATATTGCAAAGCAAATTGTTCACACCTCTCTATTGGCCGTTCACAAATTACGTGGCGCATTTTTGGCCATTTTTGACACCCCCTTCTGTACACATACTATCAAGTTTGTGAAGGCAACGATTGTTTTGGCTGTTTTCCTTGTTGTCTGGTTTATGTTGTCCCTTATACAGCGATCCCTATCAACTATTCTCTCCTTCTATCAACTTGTAATCCTTCCTTTTTGCACTTACCCACGACCATCTTCTCACCCGTTCCCCCAGTCATTGGCGTCAATCTGACGTTAATTGA